GCGTCTGCCGGGACCCCCTCGGAACAGGAGAGATGAGGAGCGTCTGCCGGGACCCCCTCGGAACAGGAGAGATGAGAAGCGTCGGCCGGAACCCCCTCGGAACAGGAGAGATGAGGAGTGTCTGCCGGGACCCCCTCGGAACAGGAGAGATGAGGAGCATCCGCCGGAACCCCCTCGGAACAGGAGAGCTGAGGATCCACCTCAGGGGCTGTGTGCAGCGTGGAAACCACCTCAGGGGCTGCGTGCAGCGTGGAAACCACCTCAGGGGCTGCGTGCAGCGTGGAAACCACCTTAGGGTCTGCGTGCAGCCTGGAAACCACCTCAGGGGCTGCGTGCAGCGTGGAAACCACCTCAGGGGCTGCGTGCAGCGTAGAAACCACCTCAGGGGCTGCGTGCAGCGTGGAAACCACCTCAGGGGCTGCGTGCAGCGTGGAAACCACCTCAGGTGCTGCGTGCAGCGTGGAAACCACCTCAGGGGCTGCGTGCAGCGTGGAATCCACCTCAGGGGATCCACCTCAGGGGCTGCGTGCAGCTTGAAATCCACCTCAGGGGCTGCGTGCAGCGTGGAATCCACCTCAGGGGCTACGTGCAGCGTGGAATCCACCTCAGGGATGGCAGTGACAGGGGTTTTAAAAGTCCCTATCTTAAATAGTAAAAAATTATACTCGAGGAGCAAAGAAAGACCAGGGATAGAAAGTAAAAAATCCTCCATCTGGGACAAAACGATATCAAAGGAAGACGTGTTAGTTTTAGCAGAATGAAATAATTCTAATAGGGTCTGATTAATTTGAAAAATCTCTTCAGGTGAAAATGAATGAAAAAAGGTAATGTCTCTATGTGGGTGTGTGGTGACGGGTGCCGCCCCCACCGGAAACCTGGAAGGTGAGGCGGCGGAACACGCCCCCATGGAGTCACTAGGAATACACTCCGAAGGTACGGTCAGGCTGGGTCGGACAGCCGCGGCGCGGAGTGGCGGTGAGAGGCCGGATTCTGCCCCCACCAGGAACCTGGAAGGTGAGGCGACGGAACCCACCCCTGTGGCGTCAAGTGGACCGGACTCACCAAACCGAACAGGAGTGGACTGGAGCTCCCGCGGGTCGCTGGATCTCGCCCCCACCGGAAACCTGGGAGGTGAGGCGGCGGACCCCGCTCCCACAGAAACACCGGAACCAGCTCTAGAATTCTGCTCAGCCGACGAGACCGGGCCGGTCGCCGTGGACTGCCTCCGGAACCGTCTTCTGCCACTACGGCGGCAGCGGGACTGCAGAAGGACAGGGACGGAGTGGAGCTCGTCCATCTTATCTCGGGGGGGAAAAAAGAAAAAAGGTGAGTTTGCCGAGAGAGACCCTGCCCGCTGGGTTCTGGTCTGGTCGTGTCGTAATGTCAGGATTTGCTAGGAGGGAGCGAACCCAGAGTGCAGAACAGGGACTCAACTCGGCAGAATACAAAAATAGGAATTTAATGATAAATAAAGGTACAAAATAACAAGCTGACGGGGCAGCAAAACTTACATGAAATAGGAAGGAGGCACGGGAAACTCAGGAGGACTCAGGAGACACGGGAGACTCAAGGAACCAGGAAGACTCAGGGGGGAACACAGGAGACCCAACGAGTACGACGCGACCACGAACAAGACAGAACAGACGGCTTATATACAGGGACAAGACGAGACGTGATTACAAACAGCTGGGACGAGACAAGGATGGCATTAATGGAACTAACGAGGGAACACAGACACAAACCGGGCCACAGAAAGGTACCATCCTTACAGCCAGGTGTCTTGCTCGAATCCAAGAACACAAATCTTAACAGTAATGAATGAATATAATATACAAGTTTCACTTTTTGAATGGAATTACTGAAATAAATCAACTTTTTCATGATATTGTAATTTTATGACCTGTACCTGTATATAGGTGAATGTATTGTCTTTTTTTCAAATTTGTGTGCTCTGCTTTTTTTATTATTATTTCATGTCTTTTTTCTGTATAATTAGAAAATGCTACTGGACGCCTCAAATCCCCCCCCCCCCCCCCCGGGAGGGAGGGATGGGGGATGGACTGATTGATTAGGTATGTATGTATTCAATTCAACCTTTATTTGTTGTCAGTCTCATTAAGCCTCGAGGACTCATTTACAAGAGAGACCTGTTTGTATGTATCTGTCTGTCTGTCTATCTATCGATCTATCAGAATTAAAACTAATTTCATACAACAATCATGTAAAACAGCTGGATGTTATAGATGGAAAAATATATTCAAATTCAAATTCAAATATACATTATTAATCCCAAATGGAAATTAATTGTTGTTGTAGCTCATCTTGGTTTCATTAAAGTTGTTCTAGATGCTGATGTCTTTGGGCAGGAAGGATCTCTTGTAGCAGTCCGTCCCACAGTGGATCTGAAGAAACTGGCTACAGATGTCAATCTGTCCACCCAGACAAGCAGACCTCTCAGTCCTCTTGGGCAGCAGGACTGCCTGAATGTCAGGCAGAACTTCTCCCTGAGTGATGGCCATTTCTCCTAGCAGCCTGCCAAGCCCCTTATTGCCACAGACTTAACTGCAGGTGCCGGGGGATGATCTTGGTCCTCCCGCTGTCACAAGCTGCGTTTCCCACTACCTCCAAAATCTCTGCAGTCAGGCACTCAAGCACTGCCTGCAGGTAGACGGGAATGCATCCACGGCACCTCCTTTTTAACTCATTTGGGATTTGGGGCTGCAGTTGAGATTTGAGCTTTTGAGATGTTAATCAGCTGTTCCCAGTTGTAGAAAACCACCCTGTTGTCATGGTTATGCATCATAACAGATGTCCAAAAGTAAAAAAGGTTTCAGTAAAAATCCTGCCAGCCAGCAGCACAGCATCTGATACCAGAGGAAGTAATCATCAGAAAAAAGCAATTTGCATTCAGAAAAAAAAGATTAATTAAAGTTTTCAAAAGCAAAACCTCAAAATGAATGTGAGAGCTACTCCAACATGCAGCTATCTTGAGCGGCGCAATTCTGGAATTTTGGGTGTAATCTAAACACGACATGGGAGGGCAGTTGCTGCGGTCATTATTATCATCACGCTGCTAACAGTACCATGCTGTTAACAGTACCATGGTGCTAAGAGAATCTCACTGCCAACAGAACCACTCTGCTAATAGGAGCATGCTGCTGTAGATGTTTTTCACTTTTGGTGCCTTGTTTTTGTGTTTCTGTTGCATTCTTTAGTGTTTCTTGTTGTTTTTTGGCGAGTCAAGACAGTTCTTCTCATCCTCAGCATTTCATTGCATTGTTGGCCTTGTGTTGATCTGCATGACAAATAAACAAAAACCTAACCAGTGGTGTAGTCTATGTGATACATGGGCATACAGAGTATACCCACTAGAAATCTTGAGAATTTCAGAATACCCACTTAAAAGTGCCCATTGAAACATGACATGTCATTAGGCACGTGTCATTGATACGTTAAACAGCAGTTAAATGCTTCTGTAACAATCTATCTGTATGCAGAGATTCTTTATTACATTTGCTTATCCAGAAAATTATTGTATAATGAATACTTTTGTACTTAATACTTGAACATGTTTTGCTTTGACACTGCTTTATAAAATCTGTAACATGTTTTTAATACAAAGCCAACTGTTGTAGAAAGTTAATTGTTCATTTATTCAAATATAAGCATCAGATAAATATGTAAATGTTTAATATGCTTAAAAATAAAAATAAATTAATGATTACATTGTACTAACCAGTGTACTTTGGTTTCTAAACACAGTATACCCACTACAAAAATTTAGACTACACCACTGAACCTAACCTATTCACCTGAAGTTAGTCAATAATTAATGATTGACTTCTAAATATTTCAAGACGTTATAGCTGCTTGAATAACTACAACTTCAGCTAGTTGACGAGTCTGAAACTAAGTTTTTAACGTGTAAATTGTGTTTCTGTAGGCTCTGCTAGCTGCAGTGATCAGTGTCTAATCAATACCTAAACTTAAAAAAGTACATTTTACATAAAGTACAAGAGAGCAGATAATGAATAGTTACCAGCAGCTTGGACTGTTTATTAATTTGTATTAAACTGTAGCACAATTCAGCCTGAACAGAATATGTGCCTCAGAAGCTACGATCTAAGAGCTAATTCAGTAATTAACAGCCGTTACATCAGCTTTAGAGGCTGCTTTTAAACGGGTCCATTATCACCTTCGGTTCTGGTCGGATCATTCACACTGAGGCAATTCCCTTTTCTCTTTTGTTGCTACATCTGTAGCACACGCAGCTTTCTGCCATTGTTACATTAATAAATATGTTTTAATAACCGACAAAGTTCATGCTCCTTTCAGAAAAAAAAAAATAACTGTCCAGATGACCTGACTGAAAATTGCTGGATGTTTTAATAACGTTACTATACTACGTACATTAATTATTTATTACACAGTCTGAGGGCTATTTAGTCAAAACACCAAGTGCAGACATTAGTTTTGGTAACGCCGTAGCTGCAGTGAATCACAAGGTCACATGACCAGAGCGCCCTCTAGTGGTTTGGAGAGTTCTGTGGTTAGTACAGTAGTGAAATCAGATCGACAACACAAAAAACACGATTGATTTGTGATTAAATCTTTTTAAAATCTTATTTACCTCGGGCAGCGCTCCTTTAGCTGCTGACACACAGACTGGACAAACCAGCTCCCGTCTGTCGGGTGTCTAAATGCAGCTTGATCTTCAACAGTGGCCACAGCAACGAGAACGTCTGCTTCCTCCGGGACGGACAAAAAGTCACCGTCCACCTCCACGTCTTTCATCACCACACCTCGCTGGGTTTGACCTCCCTGGCAGGCCTGGATCAGGAACACTTTGGGCTTTCCAACGAGGGCCGACTGCTCAGTGGCCCTGAAAGTTCTTGTAATTTCTTTAATGGCGAGAGGCTTTGAGTCGGTGCCCAGAACAGCCCCCTTTTCTCCATGACTCAGAATGCAGCAGAGGAAGGCGTCTCCATGCCCGAGGACCTGCTGGGGAGCGGTGAAACCACTGCCGGACCACTCCTCAACACCCAGCTCTGGCAGCTGAACGCCATCCCTGAGAGAGGCGAAGAACACCAGGGTCTGAACCATCTGGTCCTGAGTCTGGTCTCTGCACATGAGCACCCTGAAGCCCAGCCAGCTGAACACCTCTGCCAGGCTCTCTGCAGAGAGATTAAACAAAACGGAAAATGATTCAACTCACAACAAGCCGATGTCCCCCGTCACTAACAGATTTGAACAGTGAATGTTTGTAGATTTGGAGACAAGTGTTTTTCTGGACTGGAACTGAACAGAGAATGAAGTAAACCTAAATGTTTTTTAATGCAAGAAACTCAAGAGGGGACGAGTTACACGTGGAGAAGAACAAAGGGAGGTTTTTTTTATTCTTGTCGAATGCAGCGCAGAGTGACGGATCCTGAAGGGCCGAGGGAGACATGTTATTCACCTCCAGGTGCAGTGGTGGAACCAGGGGGCGGCCAATGGTGGCCTTTGCCCCCAAAATGTTTATCCACCCCAGTCATTTGAGAACATTATACTTTTAAGCAATACAAAAACAAGAAAGCATTTTAATGCCTAGAAGTAGCCACACTAAATGGAAGTTGGCACTTTGCTGATCTTTTAAAGTTATCCAGCTAACAAGGTTTACATATATACATGTATAGCGGTAGCCATCTTGTATTATTTCTAGTTGTAGCCACACACAAAAATGGAAGCTGGTACCTCACATAACTTTCAAGTTATTACACTCACAAGACATATATGGAGGCAGCCATCTTGCATTTTGAACTGGTAACCCAATTTTTGAAAGGAACTTTTCTTATGCACAAAATGGGTGTCGGTAGCTCCCTTTTTTATCTCCAAGTTGTCATGCTCACAACATGAACAGACGAATGGATGGAGGGATTTCTAAATCTCCCTCTTCACTCAGCGACGAGGGACAAACAGGACAAGGTTGTGAAAGATGTCAGGAGGAGACCTACGAGCATCTTTGTTTGTTCCCCTTCTCAGCGTGCTGGCGACAAAGTTCTCGTTGTTTATGATCACACAGAGCCCAACGGGCCGGCTTTTCAACACATAGAGCTCGTCCTGAAAACAGTTTTCACAGAAGGAGTCATATTACAGCTTCATAACAGAGGTGATGCCCTGCTGATGCACAATGGACCTCACCTTCTTCTGCCTCTTGGACTCTGGCACCATATCACCTGAAACAAACACAAATACAATGAGATGTTTTCTGAGCGTGCAGGTAAACACAGCTGCAGGATGTGACCTTACCACAATCATTAGAGGAGGCCTGGACAGGTGAAGGTAGGCAGGTGTCTCTCAGCCTGATGGTCTGCAGCTCAGGGAAGGTGGTTCTGATCTCCTCATCCGTTTCCAGGAGGCCCAGGAAGGCTTTGCAGGTGTCTTCTCCTTTGTTCATAATTTTATCCACGAGCTCAACCACGTGACCCTCCACATCTTCTCCACGGATGATCTTCAGGTTGTTGTACTCCCGCGGCGTGATCAGGTTCCTCTCCTGGACTTTGTTGAGGATGAGTCTGTGGTCTCCACATAAAACCATCTGAATGTAGGTTTTATTGCGCCTCAGAGAGTCTTTGGCCGACATGTTGCGTTGGAACTTTTGCTTTCCCTTTCAAATCCCAGTAGTCAAATGGAAACCGGTGGTCCACCAGGAAACAGCCGCGGAAAAGTTAGTTTCTGTTCATGAAAGTATGAAGTGATTTAAGGAGCCAGGTCCAGAGTTGTGAAGTGAGGTTTGGAGGATTATGATGTGTGAGAAGTAAACCTCGTGCGGAAGTAGTACCGGGGTAATTGAATCGGAGTTATGGTAGAATAACGTCCATCTTTTGGTGTGTTTGTGCCCCCTGCTGGCAAACAGGGGGCACTGCAGGTCAAAACGAGGGCTGCGTTTCTCTGTCCTCTGCTTGAATGAAATAACTAACTAACTAACTAATGACTAAAATTACGATGTGAATAAACTGATGTGGTTTAATGCAGCTTTTAATCTGGATGGCTCCCTTTCAGAAAGGAAGTTTTAAAGACTGTATGTAGTTCCTTTAAATAAAGTTTTTGTTGCAAATTATTGAATTCTCCCTGGTGGTCTAGTGGTTAGGATTCGGCGCTCTCACCGCCGCGGCCCGGGTTCGATTCCCGGTCAGGGAAATGCTTTTTATTTTTATATGCCATGTTCTGAAAAGGTTATTTCAAATAAATTAAACCAGTAAAAAAAAAAAACCCTAATAAAATCCAATAAATTAAACCTTTCAGCTTTTCCCTCTTTAGGGGTCTCAACAGTGAGTCATCCTCCTCCATCTCACTCTGTCCTCTGCATCCTCTGTCCTCACTCCAACTATCTCTATGTCCTCTCTAACTGCATCCATATATCTCCTCTTTGTCTTTTTCCTGGCAGCTGCATTTATAAGATCCTTCTACCAATATACCCACTGTCCCTCCTCTGGACATGTGCAAACCGCTGTCCCTCCTTTGGACATGTCCAAACCATCTCAGTCTGGTCTCTCTAACTTTATCTCCCAGTTGTTCAACCTGTGCTGTACCTCTGATGATCTCATTCCTAATCTTATCCATCCTTGTCATTCCTAAGGAGAACCTCAACATCTTAATTTCTGCCACTTCCAATTCTGTCTCCTGTCTTTTTGTCCATGTCTCTGTCTCCAGACCATATAACATATAGCTGGTCTCACCACTGTCTTGTAAACTTTTCCTTTGGACTTTGCTGACACCCTTTTGTTACAAATAATACTACAATTCTGTTTATTTATATAGCGCCAAATCACAACAAAGTTGTCTCAGGGCACTTTACAGGAACATTCAATTACATAAAAGCCAATTAGTAAAGTTCTGTATCTAAGGAGGCCAGCAGACAAGATGAATCTTGGCTTCGTTAATAATAATAATAATAATAATAATAATAATAATAATAATAATAATAATAATAATAATAAT